AAAAAACAAAAACAAAAGGAAAACGTCATAGTATTAAATTTATGTGTTGCAGAAACACACAAGCAGAAACGTGGAGAAGGAAAAAAAAAGGAAAGTGAGCACAATGGAAACAAAGGACACTCATTTTGTGCAAAGTGAACCATCCATTTATTAAAAATTAATATAAGAATATAAGCCAAATTGGCAAAAACAACTACATTATTGTATTCTTCTGTACCGCGAAAAAATGGGAATGCACGAAAAGTGAAATTTCAGCGTTGTGCTGGAAATGTATATGCCCCCGAAAAAAAGAAAAAAACGAACAAGTTAGAAAAAACACAGCCCGGTACAATGTTAGCATGACCGTTAACTCTGTGCAAATATCCTTTTCTTTCAACTTATGCGAATATTATTGATTAGGAGTAGTGTGAAATGTAAGAATAGAAAGTGGTTTCCTGTCGTTTATTAGAACGTGTAGGCAACCATGTAGGGTGTAGCATATGTGTGTACATAATTACATTTTGGGCTTGAATTATTGTGAAAGGGCGAAAAAAGCACACATTTCCATGTTGCAGGTGTAGGATTTCATGATGCAAACGGAAGCAAAAGTGAAAAACGCGACACTCTTGCTGTGTGTGTGCGGACAATGTTTGTTCCTACCTAGAGAAAGGATGAAATTATGACACACCATCTATTTTTCAATTGCACCTGAGTTGTTAACGTATGCCACTTTAAAATATGCTAAAGGACTTAGGGAATGGAAACTCCACGCTCCATTTATCCATTTTCCTTCCATAGTACAATATGGTCCAGTATTTCCTCTATTGGGAAATTTTCCATGTTCACGTTATTCATTGGCTAGACTCGGTAACTTTGTCTCGACAGAGCAGCCACAAGCTTCCCTTCCCCTTACACACTTTCACTGTGTTCGTACAGCACATATGGAGGAGCATTTGATATAATATATTATCTGTGTAAGTATGCCATGCTTTGTTTTCGTGGAAAGCTATCGCATATATTGACTTTCACAATTTGTAAGATATCCTCCTTTTTTTAAGCATATCAGAGGTAAGGTGTAAAGCCGTTTCATTTGGCAATGAGGAATTTTGTATACGCAGGAAAAAAATAAATCATCAATACGGAAGGAAACAAGAAAGGGAAAATGTGTTACATATTATAAGAATAGGCACTGTATGAATTAACTACGATGGACATTGTGTACTATATATGTTACACATATAGGATGTAACAAATAATTATTCGTTATATATGCATATATTTATATATACAGCATAAGAGAAGGACGCATCCTTTTTTTTTTTTTCCAATGCTTTGTCCTTTGATCATGTCTATGGACCAAATTATTACAGAAACAATCCGCATTATATATGCACACAACATATATATTAGGAAAAACGTAAACCATATTATAATGTAGAAAACGGAACTATAAAGCTAAATGCTATAAAGGAATAATAAGCCATATCATACAACATGTATGCAATATCAGTATGAGGGTCAATCTAAGAAAATATGTACAAGCATACTGTAACAGTGAACCTGCCTGCTGCAAGTGGCATACAGCAAGTTACTTATGGTTTGTTACGTGCTTCCGGTTTGTCGGGTACTTCTGATGATATTTTGTCTTTCAAAACCTTCTTCGGCACTTTTTCCTTCGCTTTCGATAGCAGCACCGGAATATCAGAAGTGACAACATACTGAGTATACCCATGCCACCTGCACCGGATGTCATGCCAATCCCAATTGCACACACAATGGTTTTCCAATTTCCAACGGCAGTTACCACCGCAGTTAACGCCCCAGGTTGAAACTGAAGTACACCCCAAAGGAAACCTCCTACAGCAACCAATATTATAGTATAAACCAAAATAGCCACAACGAAGAACTTGCTGTACCTATATATAATATATTTAGCCAATTTCCGTCTACTAAAGCCTCTTCCGGTTTTGACGTTAACTGCCTTATTCTGCTTGCCATGCTTTGTGCTTGCGGTGGTTCCTGTAAATTAGGCGTGTGGAATAGGATTCGATGAACATTTTATCCACAACGTGGCGTTTGTCTGTGGGGCGGAAAAATCGCAACATACAATTTCCGGAGAATTTATTTGTCTCCGTGTTTGCGCATATCCGCTTTACCTTTACCCGAAGATGCTTTCGGCTCCTGTTTCGTTTTTGCACTTTGTCCTTTATTTTGTAGGGATGGCGGCAATGATGCTTGTGCACCAACCTTCGAAAGGGATGTGCTAGACGTTGCAACTGCCTCGGCGACTGCTACATCGGCGGATAATGTGTCGTTGCTATCGACTTCTTCTTCCCGTGCATCATGTTGTATTTTCCACTTTCCATAATAATGCACTTGTTGTGGTACCTGGTACTCCACCATTTTCCATGCTTTTAGTATAGTTCCATCTTCCTCATCCTCCCATTGTGCGTCAGAATATATGCGTTTCGGGGAAAATGCATAGGCTTCTTCATAAGGTTCGTCGACATCGTCGTAGGCACCTTCATAGGTTTCTTCATCATCGTCATAGTGTTCGAATGCCATCGGATCTAATTCAAGCTCATCTTCTGATGGAAGTCGTTTTACCTTTGCTACACTGCGGGCACCTCTGGTATATACTTGTAATTGGGCCACATGTTCTTCGTGTCTGTCGAAGTCATCCGTATGCTGTAGAAAGGGGAAGCGAAGAGGAGTGGTGATGAGTTGAATTAATAATAGAATGGCAATGGAGAAAGGAACAAAGGGGAAGTAACAAGGGGAACGGAAAAAATATACATATAAATATTCGGGCATGTTGCGTACCGCATATATATAGCTGAGCACGAAACATTCCAGGCTACATCTATATGTGATCATGTAATGTTTCATACTGGGCTTACCGTTAAGCAGATCCAAGCAACAACAAAAAGGATAGCACCTGTTTTGGAGAAGAAGGACCGGTGTGCCTTTTTTCCATGCGTTTCGCCTTCGTCATTACCTGCGGAATGTGCTTTGCCATGTCGGAATTGCGACGCTCCTTGTGGAACGGCGCTGGATGTTGGTGTTGGTTTGTTGTTCGAGTGTACCATGTTGTTACGGATACTTATTTAAAACAGTAATGTACACGGGTAGTGTGCTTTTCGCTTTTCTTTTTTTAATACGCTACGCCTAGGAGGACATTATGCTAAAAAAAGAAAAAAAAGAAATTAGAGAAATGAATGAACACGAAATTTTTGCTTTCACGTCAGCATATAGCGCAGTATGAAAAGTGTCGTGCTTCTGTTTTTTTTTTTTTGTTTTCTCTGGATTGAGCTATATAGGATCCCGTTGTAATTTACTGTTCCATAAAAATTACATATACATAAATTTCTATTAATTGTGCGAAATGTAAAAAAAAATAAAAAAGCAACAAGGGGAATTAAGTCAAAATAAATTTATGTTACAACTAAAAATGAAATTATGCCAAAATGAACAAAAAAAAAACAAACAACAAAAATACACAGCAGATACATTCATTTGAGCTTTAGAAGAGGAAACGTCATTTTAAAATTTGAACAATGTGTGGGGGATTGAGTTGTAGGTTTTAGATGGAAAATGTTTCTTTTGTAACTGAAACGTTACATATATATATAGGAATATATGCAAGTTACGGCTTTATTGCGTTTATACGCTGCGCATAATACGCTGATGCATAAAACACTAGGTGCCTTAGTCAATTGTTTGCCACGAGAATGCGCTGAAATCCTTATTTTATAAATGGAGTTGTAAAAAATTTGTACTGCATGTAACATTATCGCAAAAAAAAAAAAAGTTTAATTCTAACTTA